GAATCAAATGGAACTGAAGGGAGACGCACTCCTGATAGAGAAATCAAATCACGAAGAGAAAGAACGATCAGCGAAATGTCTTCGGCGTCTGAAGCCGCGGATATGCTGGACGTTTCCTTAACGTCGATCGATGGCACAGCTTTTTCGCAGAAGAGGCGGTCAAATTACGGTAGAACAATGAGCGAAACGTCGGTTCTGTCCGCCGCTCATTCGCAGCTTTTTATCAGCGCAAGTAGCGAGGACTCGGATCCGTATGAATATACAACCAAGATGTTAGATGAAGTGATATTTGGACTCCCGCTGGGCCTACAGCCCGACACCGCGCTTGAAGCAGTGATATGCTCTTGTAACCAGTGTGTTAAATGTAGTAGATACTTGTATGATGAAGAGATATTAGCAGGTTGGACGGCAGACGACTCCACTTTTACCACAACGTGAGTGCTTTTTAAATCCGCCCAAGTTCCCCGCATTCCTGAATCCATATGGGGAATGGGTACAAGCTTTCGGCACAACGATTTCTAGGATCATATGGTTGCCTTGAATACCATCAACCAATCATAACTAACGCTTGTGCACCCAAACGATCCCAGAAATCACTGCGCCCTAAACTTGCACCCATTCTCCCAAGAGGTTTTGGAGTGGGGAATATGATTCGTAATAAGCAACGAGTTCTAAGAGTCTTGTGAGTTGGAGGCTGAGTAGCCCGCAGTGATGAATTTCTGAGAACGTGTACTAGATTTTATTTTCTCTCCATATATTTATTTACTTTCGTTTATTGTCAACGCCGCCATTCCTGTCTCCTGAAGCCGTCAAAGACATTGTGAGGTTTTGGCTGGAGGAGACGTGTGCTGAACTTTGTTTAGTATTCGGCCGTCATGACGTCGAACCATAGTTAGACTAGGCTGATTTTCCAATAGAATGGGAACGTCAGTTGACGACGGCGCGCGCCAACCAAACAGTTGGCATGACTAATGACAGAACGGCAAATTACGCAACGGAGGTCACGTTCAGTCCTTTCCGCGCGCTTTCCCGTCGTTAATTGACGTTCCCGTTCGGTTGCTAAATCAGCTTACTCTTAACTCTTTTGTACTCAGTTGAAGGGGCTATGACTCAGATTAAAACTTTTTTGAACATGTTTTTTTTTTTCTTTTCGCCGACAAAAAGATTATATAAAGGTAGGTTACTCACCAAAATTTCAGCTTCTAAAGAGCTTTCCAACCCTATGAAATTCTCGTCTAAAGTAGCTCGAAATTCGAGAATCGGGGGCGGCCATCTTGGAGAATTCCTAGCAGCCTGTTGTCGAGTACGTGACATCAATGCGCCTAACCTGAGCTTGGCAGACAGATTAGGTCACTCAACATTTCTACTTTCTTCGTTTCGGATTGTGTTTTTTGCGGCCATGGCTTCTTGTGCAGCTCCGAAACGAAGAAACAAGAAGTTTTGAGTGATTTAACAAACTTAGGTTGAGCGCATTGACGTCACACACTTGTCACCAGGCTGCCAAGAGTTCTCCAAGATGGTGGCCCCCAGATCTCGAATTTCGGGCTTCTTTAGATGAGAATTTCATAGGGTTGGAAAGCCCTTCGGAGGTCGAAATTTCGGTGAGTAACCCACCTTTGTATAATCTTTTTTTGGCCAAAAGAAGAAAATCCTGCCACCTTGGAATGAACTTCTCCTTTAATAAACGTTGACGTGTTTTGTATTTCTCGTTTTCTTGGTTATTTCTTTCAGTTGTCCTTACTGCCAAACTCAGCAGGTAGCAAGTCTCAATATTAAAATCAAGGTAAGTTTTTTGAAACAAATGGTGTTGCGCTTGATAAAAGACATCAACAGCGGCCATTAAACGCAAGGCTCGGAAAAAATCCAGGCCGGTAATCTGGAAAGGTAGATTTTGTTGCTGGTGCGGTAACTTACTTGTCCAATGGATGAGGGTCCAGGCAAGTCAACCTCTAACTAAATCATTAACTAAGTCCAGCACGAAGTGGCTGCGGGTGAGGGAAATATGAGAGCTGTTTGCCCAAAGGTACAGACTGGAAATCAAGTTATTTTCGAGCCCCGTAAACGCCGACATTGCAATTTGTTTTTATCACACTCCTCTTGTATCACAGTTTTCATTTATGAAAATTTGCCATTTGTGTCTTCTGCTGCGGTAATCTGAATCTTCTGAAACGTTTGTAGGGGAGGAGTTTACGTGTAGAATGCAACAACTTTGTTTTCGAACTCGTTGAAAGAAAATGAATCCATGACGACAATTTCATTTCCTTAATCTGAACTTTTTTTGTTGCCTTGTGCGAAGTATAACCAAAGTTAGTGCTCTAACAACTTAAGTTAATTGACTTTCTCTTTGCATCTCGTTGTAGGATTATCGAAATTGTTTTTCGTCTCATCCAAGTTCCGAGTTGTCATCGAGTATTAACAGCTTTGGAAGCTCCGAACTGCTGCCGAATCCCGATGATGAGCCGAAATCTGGACATCTGAGCAACTCCGTTCCTACTACGATCGAGTCCAGTCTTCTTATGCAGAAGCTGGCCAGTCCCTCGCGGCCACTCAGTGCTGCTATGTCTCCTCCAGCGTCTAACCCAGTCCCTATACGAGCGAGTCATCATCGAGTGCGGGGTTACAGTATAAGTGCACCCTCAAGCGCTAATGCTAGTCCTTCTGGGAGCCTTCACGGGAGCCCGAGGCCTGGGTCGTGGATACAACGCACGCGCAGTAGTAACAGTACGTGTAGCTATGGAAGCAGCTGGTATGGTAAGCGGAAAATGCAAAAATTATTAAATTAATTTATTATGATTAAATTTGATTATAATTTGATTCGACCTAGAGGTAAGAAGTTAGTCGAACACTTCTCGTGACAAACCTTTGTTATGTTCAACTTCTTTGACCAAGTTCAATTTTCTGGCTTTGTTTGTGAACTGAAAACTAGTTATTTCATCGTATCAACTCTATTAGAATGTGGGCATTGCTCCTAAGCTTTGAAACGTTGTGGGAAAGCACATAATAACATAATAATCATAATCTAAGCTGGTATCAACCTTTTCATGATCAGCCATCGAACATTCGCACCCAGAATTAGTTGCTCTTTATCAAAGTTTGTGATACCATGATGCTGCGACTTCAAATTTCGTTTTTTCTTTTACACGCGGCACTAACAGTTGCCCTGTAGGACCGAAGACAGTATGGCCATTCAGTTAATTTGCCACTCCGTAAAGTAAAGGGAGAGTGACTGAAAGCTTTATATCCAACGCTTTCTGCGATCGTTAGGGTGGGCAAAGGCAATCAATTAGAAATAGTTAAGATGGATAAACAGTCACTCTGGCAGACAGATAGACAGACAGACAGGTAGACAGATAGACAGACAGGCAGGCAGGCACACAGACAGACAGGCACACAGACAGGTACACAGACAGACACACAGATAGACAGACAGGCACACAGACAGACAGGCATACAGACAGGTACACAGACAGGTAGACAGACAGACAGGCAGACAGACAGGCAGACAGACAGACAGATAGATTGATTGATTGATTGACTGATTCACTTTTATTTGAATACGGTAATTTCATAAGTTACATAACTTTACATGAAAGCCGTATACAAACAGAAGTAAATACTGTACAACTATTACACTAAAAATATGTACAAATAATAAAAATAAATAAAGTAAAATGTAGTCAACAGTTTGCCTGCCTACTAGCCAGTTTTCTGTTAAAGATAGCTTTAGATTCGGACGCTTTTATGTCATTTGGCAATGAATTCCACAGCATTCCTCCTCTGTATGAGAAAGACCCTTTATAATATTCTGTTTTTGGAACATGGTCCAGTACAACATTATATTCCGTATTTCTTAGCATAGACTTATAAGGGTTGTTCTCACAGACATTCGAGAAAAGATCGCTTAAGTAGCTAGGCATATTTCCATTCACTGTATCATACATTAATAGACTTAAGTGCCTTTGACGACTTGAGGCAAGCTCTTCCCAGTTTAGTTGTTTTCGTATTTGTGCTGAACGAACGTCATAACCTTGAAAGGTTATTATGCGTGCAGCACGATTTTGTAATTTCTGGATCCTAGTGACAAGTCCCTGGTCTAAATTGTCCCAAACAACGTCGCAGTAGTTGAACACAGGCTGGATAAGAGATTTGTAAATAGTATTTAGAACATCTAATAGTACATAATCACGTGCCTGTTTTAGACCACCGATGGATCGATTGACTTTTGAACAAAGTTTGTCAACATGCTCGTTCCATTTAAGATTTTTATCTAAGTGAATTCTTATATTTTGTTGTTTGGACTCGTTTAACATGGTTGTTGCCAATCTTAATTGGAAAGTCTCTTCCTAAGTTAGATAATTTGAAGGTAGTTGTTAAAAACATATACTCCGTTTAAGAGACATTTAAGCTCAACTTATTTGCAAGCCAGTCCCTAACGCGAGTTAGGTCATTATTTACCTTGGCATATAGTTCAACAGTGGATACAGAGGACGCATATATCGTGGTACCATCGGCATACATGTGTGCTTGGTATGGAGAAGACATCCAGGGAGATCATTAATATATGTAAAAAAACAGCAAAGGGCCTAAAATTGAACCCTGTGGAACTCCACGACTTATTAACTGGGGCTTAGAAACACAGCCCTCTACTATACACTGCTGTTGCCTATCTCATAGGTACCATGAAAACCACACGAGCGTTACCCCCTTCAGACCATAGAGCTCAAGTTTTTTTAATAAAATATTATGTGAAACGGTATCAAAGGCTTTGGCAAGATCAAGAATCACAATCAAATTGGTTATGCCTTTGTCAATGTTAACATACCAATTAAAGAAAATCATGGGAAGCAGACAGACAGGCAGGCAGACAGACAGGTAGACAGACAGACCCCGTTTATATGGAGAAAACTTGTCTCTGCCGTGTCAACTTTAGCGTAATTTGAGAATAAGGTTACCCTTTTGCCCTGTCCAAAAGCTGACGACAGCGCTCGCGCATGCTCTAATTGTCTCCCCTTGACCGAGTTGACCCTGCTGGGCGAAAACCGACCAGGAGGGTGACCCTATCATCGCAAAAGGGTAACCCAGCTAGGCGGATAACCCTTCCAGCCAACTTTTTGCTTCTCACATGAAAGATTCGTTACGTTTTGTAAGAAAATGTATTAAAAGTTGTGACGCCCTGGCAAGCTGGGGTAGGCGAGTGACCCTTCTAACGGGGACAACTTTTCTTTATAAAAACGGGGCCATAGATTGATAGACAGACAAACAGGCAAATCGCTCGACAGTTAGATTTAATTTACCCAGGTAATATTATCGGCTTGCACTGTTTTTTGTTTGTTTGTTTTTTGTGTTTTTCCCAATAAATGCTGCATAAATTTCTCAAGGCTTTTGTTGGATCATCAGGATAGTTTAGTGATTGATCACAATTTGTATCGCCTAAAATATAAACCTGATCCCTTGATTTAGGGAAACCAATCTACCAGAAAATTGTTGGAAACTTGCTAAGTATATTCGTTGCTGCTATTATCGAACCAAACCATCCTAGAAATCTTTGTGCCAGTGGCTTGCTCCTTTTCCCCCTGTGGGTTATTCCGTGGTGGATTATATAAAAATCTTTATTTCTTGCTAAGTATTTGCTCACCACGCCCCGAGGGAAGTCATGTGATTAATGTTCACTTTGTTTAACCATCAGCAAGTGCCACCCGATTTGGGCATATTTCTGTGAGATGAATGAATGAGTAAATGAATAAATATTCTTGTGTTGTCTGTATTTCAGTGTCCAGACCGCCCGAGGAAAGAGAATTGATCACTGTTACCTACCTTAATCCCTTGGTCTTGAGAAAAGAACTGGAAAACATGTTCGAAAATGACGGAGTAGATAAACTCCAGTCTCCAAANTTTGGAAGCTCCGAACTGCTGCCGAATCCCGATGATGAGCCGAAATCTGGACATCTGAGCAACTCCGTTCCTACTACGATCGAGTCTAGTCTTCTTATGCAGAAGCTGGCCAGTCCCTCGCGGCCACTCAGTGCTGCTATGTCTCCTCCAGCGTCTAACCCAGTCCCTATACGAGCGAGTCATCATCGATTGCGGGGTTACAGTATAAGTGCACCCTCAAGCGCTAATGCTAGTCCTTCTGGGAGCCTTCACGGGAGCCCGAGGCCTGGGTCGTGGATACAACGCACGCGCAGTAGTAATAGTACGTGTAGCTATGGAAGCAGCTGGTATGGTAAGCGGAAAATGCAAAAATTATTAAATTAATTAATTATGATTAAATTAGATTATAATTTGATTCGACCTAGAGGTAAGAAGTTAGTCGAACACTTCTCGTGACAAACCTTTGTTATGTTCAACTTCTTAGACCAATTTCAATTTTCTGGCTTTGTTTGTGAACTGAAAACTAGTTATTTCATCGTATCAACTCTATTAGAAGGTGGGCATTGCTCCAAAGCTTTGAAACGTTGTGGGAAAGCATAATCTAAGCAGGTATCAACCTTTTCATGATCAGCCATCGAACATTTACACCCAGAATTAGTTGCTCTTTATCAACGTTGGTGATACCATGATGCTGCGACTTCAAATTTCGCTTTTTTTTTACACGCGGTTCTAACAGTTGCCCTGTAGGACCGAAGACAGCATGGCCATTCAGTTAATTTGCCACTACGTAAAGTAAAGGGAGAGTGACTGAAAGCTTTCTGTCCAACGATTTCTGGGATCGTTTGGGTGGGCAAAGGCAATGAATTAGAAATAGTTAAGATGTATAAACCGAGTCAGTCTGGCAGACAGATAGACAGGCAGTCTGGTAGACAGACAGACAGGCAGGCAGACAGACAGACAGGTACACAGACAGACACACAGGTAGACAGACAGACAGGCAGACAGACACAGGTAGACAGACAACAGAAAGATAGATTTATTGATTGATTGATTTACTGATTCACTTTTATTTGAATACGGTAATTTTATAAGTTACGTAACTTTACATGAAAGCCGTATACAAACAGAAGTAAATACTGTACAACTACACTAAAAATATGTACAAATAATAAAATATAATAAAATATAGTCAACAGTTTGCCTGCCTACTAGCCAGTTTTCTTTTAAAGATAGCTTTAGATTCGGACGCTTTTATGTCATTTGGTAATGAATTCCACAGTAGTTGTTAAAAACATATACTCCGTTTTAGTGACATTTGACCTTAACTTATTTGCAAGAAGCCAGTCCCTAACGCGAGTTAGGTCATTATTTACCTTGGCATATAGTTCAGCAGTGGATACAGAGGACGCATATATCGTGGTATCATCGGCATACATGTGTGCTTGGTATGGAGAAGACATCCAAGGAGATCATTAATATATATTAAAAACAGCAAAGGGCCTAAAACTGAACCTTGTGGAACTCCACAACTTACCAATTGGGGCTTAGATACACAGCCCTCTACTACACACTGCTGTTGCCTATCTGATAGGTACGATGAAAACCAGTCGAGCGTTACACCCTTCAGACCATAGAGCTCAAGCTTTTTTAATAAAATATTATGTGAAACGGTATCAAGGGCTTTGGCAAGATCGAGAAGCACAATCAAATTGGTCATGCCTTTGTCAATGTTAAGATACCAATTATTTCTTAAATGTAACAACAGACAGACAGACAGACAGACAGACAGACAAACAGTCAGACAGACCCCGTTTATATTGAGAAAACTTGGAAACTTTCGAAAAATATTCGTTGCTGCTATTATCGAACTAAACCATCCTAGAAATCTTTGTGCCAATGGCTTGCTCCTTTTCCCCCTGTGGTTTATTCCGTGGTAGATTGTATTAAAATCTTTATTTCTTGCTAAGTTGGGCATATTTTTATGAGATGAGTGAATGAGCAAATGAATATATATTCTTGTGTTGTATTTCAGTGTCCAGACCGCCCGAGGAAAGAGAATTGATCACTGTTACCTACCTTAATCCCTTGGTCTTGAGAAAAGAACTGGAAAACATGTTCGAAAATGACGGAGTAGATAAACTCCAGTCTCCAAACGTAGTTCAAGATAAGACTGACATCTTTTGGAATTTGGTGGGTAGAGATTGGAAGTACATGTTCTACTTAGTTGTAGAACGTAGTGCTCTTGTAGCTTGATTTCATAGGTCGCTAAGAGAATTTTACCCAGAAACTTGTTATTTCAAAGCCAGAACTTCGACAACATTGTTGGTGATACTAAAGGAACGTGGCTGCGAAATGGCTGCCTCTCTTGTTATTTAAAGAAGCTTCATTTTAACGATCAGCATAGAACTGAATGACAAGGAAAATAACCAACAATAAATTTTCCGCCTGTCTCATAACTATACTCACATTGTGGGCCTATCTCCTCTAAAATATACAGTGTACAGCCTCTTTTTTTATACGCGCACAAGTCCTGCACACGAGTCCCGAGACGGGACAAGCGAGAGTGGCAAGCAGAAAAGAAAAATTTGCGTCTCCCGCCCGCGCACTAATTAATCATCTTACAGCTACTGCACTTAGTAATTCTCTGGAGCAACAACTATTTATCGTCTGTCTTCTTAGAATACATATTTGTTCTTTTGTAGGTTTGGTATTTCAAGCGGCTTGATCTTCCCTCGCATTTGACTAGTCACCTGTTGGCTACCTACCCTTGCAACGAAAAAGCTGACCGGTTAGAGGTAAGTGACGAGATTACAGTGTTTACTATCCTTTAGGCGAAGACCGTTTATTTCTTGCAAAATATTGGGGAGCTTAAACAACAACAACGGCGACGGCTACGAAAACGTCACGTAAAAAGTAAATTTGCGCTGCTTCAAAGTTTATGACCGCCGCGCTTATTCCATCTTGTTCAATGCGTTCAATTCTGGCAAATTTTTCTGGAATTTAATTCTAAAAACCTGTATCAAAGTTGAGGAAAAGAAAACATAAAGTCGTTGTCTCTCTGCAAACGGGGAATTTGGCACTTTCACGCCGTAGCCGTTACTGAAGCTCCTTACTCTCTTGTGCAGGAGATGCTAACAGTTTCTTCAAAGTTTTGCGTCCATTCCTAATGACAATTCTTACCTGTCTCATTATTTCTTGTTTTGGGCATGGTAGGGAGAACTTTGGCGAATGCATAGTTAAATACATAGGAAACTTTCAATATACGCATGCTCCCTTGTATGAAACGCTGACTGGTAGTTGTCACTTGACAGGAACGGCGCAGCGTATCAGGAATTGGAAGTCAGGTCCTAGTATCCACATCTTGGGATGGAGACAGAGAAGAATATGACATGGTCCCCCTCTATGTCCTCTGGAACGCTCCAGGTAAGTTAAATGAATCTTTTGTTTTGGCTCTGGAATTTGCGCAAATGAAATGATCAACAGCTACGTCCAGAAATAGTCAGAAGACCGACTTGCAGCTTAACCGCTGTGTTGCTGGGGCTTCTGGGTAACCCTGGTTGCCCATACTAGCCCGGATGTCTCAGTGCCGAAAACTGGTGCCCAATCACCCCGGAGGTCATGGATGAATTTGACATACTTATAAAACAACTCTTTCCTGAGGAATGAGAAACAAGAATTCTGTACGGGGATTTTGTTGTTATGCTATTAATTTTTGGATTTATTGTTGGTTAACAGCTGACCAGCAAGGCTCGCTGATGGACAAAGGACTAACAACAAGGAGGTAC